CCGGTGCAGAAACATTACATTGCTGTCCCAAGACCCTTGTACCCTGAACTCAAGAGATACATCGAGGATCTCCTGAATCGCAAGTTCATCCAGAAATCAAAATCGCCATATAGTAGCTGTTGTGTGATTGTCCGAAAAAAGATGGCTCAATGAGGCTCTGTATTGACTACAGAGAACTAAATGATAAAACAACAGCAGACCGTCATCCAATACCCAGAATTCAGGACACGTTGGACAGTTTATCCGGAAACAAATGGTTCTCCACTATAGATCAAGGGAAAGCATATCATCAAGGCTTTATGGACCCAGAAAGTCGCCATTTAACGGCTTTTGTGACACCCTGGGGTCTCTATGAATGGATAAGACTTCCCATGGGCCTCAAAAACGCTCCAGCAGAATTTCAACGTTATATGGAGAGCTGTTTAGGGGAATTTAGAGACGAATGTTGTGCACCATATCTTGATGACGTCATTGTATACTCAAAGTCATTCAACGAGCACGTGGAGCATGTAAGAAAGGTTCTACGACGATTGAAAGAAAATGGTATCAAGCTGAAAGCTGAAAAATGTGACATGTTTAAGAAAGAAGTTGTATATTTAGGTCGAATCGTGTCTGAAGATGGTTATCGCATAGATCCAGACAGCACAAAAGCAATTCTCAAGTTACGTGACTACACACCAAAGACTATTGGTGAAGTTCGTCATTTGACAGGTCTACTGGGTTACTACCGTCGATATATAGAAAACTTTTCCAGAGTAGCAAAACCCATTTATGACTTACTCAAGGTGGAACAGCCATGCACTTCCAAAGTAAAGAAAAAAGACACACGTGGGAAAGGAGGCCAAGCATCATCGCGTGCGCCAATTGTCTGGCTAGAGCCGCATCAAAAAGCTCTCAATTATCTTATAAGCTGTCTTACCAACCCACCTATCATGGCCTATCCAGATTTCAGCATCCCATTTGTACTTCATACAGACGCATCACAAGAGGGACTTGGTGCAGTCTTGTACCAAAAACAGCAGGGGAAAATGAGAGTGATAGGGTATGCCTCTCGGACGCTATCTCCAGCTGAAAGAAAGTACCATTTACATTCCGGGAAACTGGAGTTCCTAGCATTAAAGTGGGCTGTAACTGAACAGTTCCGCGACTACTTGTTTTACGCTCCAAAATTCACAATATATACTGATAACAACCCTTTAACATATGTTATGAGTACAGCAAAGTTAAATTCTACAGGGTATAGATGGATAGCTTCATTGGCAGATTTTGAATTCACCATCAAGTACCGACCGGGTAAAGCGAATGTTGATGCAGACTTCTTTTCAAGAATGCCAACAAACATTGAGAAGTTCATGGAAGAATGCACACAAGAAACATCACAGATGGATTTTGCAGCAACTCTCAGTGCAGTTACCACCAGGCATCAAGGTAATGTGTATTGGATCCATGCAGTTTCACTTAACCAAAATACTACCCAACTATTAGATGTAAACAAAATGGAAAAACACACTCCCATGCCTCTGCAGAACATCTTACAAGCGCAGAAGGAGGACCCTGATGTTGCCCGTGTCTTAGCTTATAAAGAACAGCCAGTTAGGCCTTCGTTTCAAGATCGACATGGTGAATCAGCTGAGGTAAAAACACTAATGCATGAATGGAACAAGCTGATACTGGGAAAAGACAGAGCCTTGTACCGAAAGACAGCCAACAGGTTGCAGTTGGTTTTGCCAAAAAGATACCACTCTTTGGTACTCCGCCATCTTCATGATGAGATGGGACACTTGGGTGCTGAAAGAGTGACAGAGCTAGCACGAGATCGTTTCTATTGGCCGCACATGACGAGAGACATCGAACATTACGTAACCAAAGTTTGTAGATGCTTACAACGGAAAAAGCCATCACTACCACCACGTGCCCCTGCTCAAAGCATAGTCACAAGTCAACCGTTTGAGCTTATATCAATTGACTTTGTCCACTTAGAAAG